GCCATCGAGCAGGGAGGGCTCTGGCTCAAGCCCCAGGAGGGCTGTGTTCTGTTCCCAGCTCTGCCACCGATCTGAGCGGTGATGGTGAATGGGTTGCACCTGCCTCCCTTTGTCCATCTTGTCTGTTTAAGTTGTTAGAGACTATCCCTCACTGTGTTTGTACAAAGACCAGCACAAAGGAATGGCAGCTGCTCAGACCTAATGTATAAGCAACAATAATCAGCTCTGGGAAGGTACAGAACAGCACATTCCCCTGGAAGAGCATGTCCTTAGCAGGGGACAGCATAATTGTATCAGGGGCCTGAGACTTCCTGGTTTTGTGCAGTCATTTGTATCTGTGAGTGGCAGCTGGACAACCCCACTGTTCCTATTCAGCCACGTTACCTGTTCTTACCTCTGAAGCAGAGATTCAGGCCCTTGCATTTTGCTGTCTTGCCATCCAGCTAGCTCTGAAGAAGGCAGTTGCTAAACTACGCTAGGGAAACAGACACCAGGGCTAGTACGAGGACGTGGGATCACACTTGCAGCCTTGCATGGCATCAGGCAATAAAGGCTGGACTTGTCCAGTGCAGGCAACTAGAAAATAAACGGCGAGCAGTCAATCCAAATCGCTTGATGGGGGAAGCCGAACAGAGTCCACAGAAGAGCAGAGGAATGGGGCAGAAATAAACGGGCATAAAATTCCCTGCAGGCAAACATCAGTTGCAACACGGTGGGGGACAGAGACTGCAGGGCCCTGCTATAATTCCTACAGCAGAGAGGCTGTAGGACATCAGGACCCCAGAGCACTAGATGCTGTACATCTGTGCAACCAGAGAGCTCCTGTCCCAAGGGGATTGCAAGCAAAATGGACACAACAGACAAAGCAGGAGAGACCATGATTGCCCCAGGTCAGAGGGACCTTAAACTAGAACCCACATCTGCTCAAGCCCATTCTAATGCCCCACCAACCAAGCCCTCCACCCTCTCTACACAAAGGGCTGGGGAAGGGAATTCATGTCCCACCAGTGCAGGGACACAGGAGAAGCAGTTGCATCCTCCTCTACAGTCAGTATCTGGAAAGGCTGGTGTAGCCTCATGGCATGATCCCTAGCTGGCACAGGTGTGTTCCCTGGGCATTGCTGGCAGGCATTAAGGGGTCATGGGCCAACGGTGAACAGAGACTTAGCTATCTGCATAAGCAACACAGGGTAAGATTTTCTGAAGTGTCTAAGGGATTGAAGACCCTTCAAAACTGACTTGGGCACCTTTGCAAATAGGACCCACAAACTCTTGCCCTGGCACCTGTGGTCTTTCCCCTCAGCCAGTGATGCCAGACAGTGACCTTTTCCCACACCATTCTTACCACCTTTGTCCCACGATGTCCCTTATACAGGGACTGCCCAGCCAGTTCATATCCACCCTGATACTCCATATTCAAACTCAGCCTGAACTCTCTCTCCCTTCTTCCACCCTGCCCACACGCAGATTATCAACAGAACTAATCACACATCCTATTATTATTGCTGCTGCCTATTTGTACTGCACAAGAGCCTGGTGGATCTAACCAGCAATGAGAGACTATGTTAGACCCTGTACCTACATAGACCACAAAGATTCCCAAAGCAAGCAGTCAAACTCCAGTGACAGGAAAGGAAAGGAGCTGGGTGTCTCGGGGAACTAGCTGGGAACTCCAGAAATGTCAGTTCAGTTCTTGGTTCAGGTATTGATCTTCAGTGCAGCTCAGGGAAAGTCACTTCACCTGCAGTTTGTCTCAGTGTCCCACCCAGGAAACCTCAGAGGGTCAGCAGGAGATGTACCAATACTTCAGGCACAAGGACCTCAGCAGCCCTGGGAGTTGGAGCTTAAACTATGACACTTGAATTCAACACCCCTTGCCAAGTACCTGCAGGATTACCGTGCTGTAACCCAGTCCTACTGCATGCCTTTCCAACTCACCGGTCATACCAGAAGTCAGGCTGTGCAGTCTCCAAGGTGTGAACTTTATCTAATTTTGTTCTGCAGAACTGTCCTTGCTTACACTGGGCATAAATGCCACCTAGCTTCCTCAGTGTTACAGCATGGCAAATCATAGCTGCAGAGCAGCACACAGGGCTGGGTTGGAGCAAAGGGCATGGGGCAGCTGTGGCCCCAGGAGCAGAGCAGGGATGTTGAAAGCTCATCACATGCACCAGCACTTCATCCCATTCCAGTGGGGCTTGGGGAGCTGGACACAAGGCTGCCCCTAACCTCTGCTCTTCCTTGGCCAGCTACAGAGGAGGGACAAGAGAATCAGCCTGGGGGAAACTGCTTCCCCTCCAGCTCTGTGTTGTAGGTAGCCAAGGAAGGGAGGCACCCTGTAGTCCTTTACTGCTTTTCCCAGCTTCACCAAGCAATCAAGTGAGCTAACCGTGAGTCTGGGAGACCCTTTACCATGAAAAGAGTGACCCCGATGTTGCACTACCAGTGCTTGTTTTCACATTCGTTACAAGAGCAAATGAACCCAGCAGCAGCGCAGGAAGGCAGGACTGCATGCTGACAGCCAAGCCCTCTGTGTCAGGGTTTGCTAGGGCCCTGGCTGTCGTGCAGGGAAGTAGCTGCATTAACTTAAGTGCAAGGAAGGGCTCCCTGTATAAGAAGGGAACTGGCAGGTAGGTCTCTGTCACTAGAAGTGATGCAGGGTGTCTGTCCTCATAGAAACAGGAATAAATGAATGGCACACTGCTCCCCACCTGTGTTACCCTCACACCCTTCCTACCACAACTCAGCCTTGCTATTTCCACTGCCCGCCCCCTCCTCCTGCCCATTCATGATCACGAAACACAAATACACCTGAAGCCCAGCTGCAATCTCATGTGCTGTCAGTAAATCTTTTAAGAGGTCACTCCCATTATCCTTGAAATGGAGGCATGGCAAATAACTTACCCCAGGTCACCCAGCAGAGCTGGGAATGGAGCTTATGCTCCTGATGTCCACTCCAATGCCCTTGCCACCAGACTATGGCGTAATGGGATGTTCACCTAGCCTCATATCTTTCAGCGGTGAGAATGCCAGACCCCAGCAAGCAGCTCCTTACATGGCCTGCCTAAGGTATATTACCTAGCACACAGGGAGCACATGCCAGGCAAAGGAATCACACACAGCAGCCTGCCTCTCAGGCAGGAAGAAATGAAGTCCAGAGCCCCAGGACAGGATGCCACCTGTTGAGAGCTATGGGCTTTTCTACCTTCCTAGAGAAGAAGGGAGATTGGCTTTTCTTTGGCTTTGCCCAAAAGACACCATTTGAACTTGTGAAATACAGCTTAGCAGCAGCCCTGGCACAGAGAGAAGGATGACTGAGCCCAGGAGAGGTTTTGTTCTGTAGCATCCAAGGAGTGGGAGCGAGGGCACTCTAGACTTAATGGTTAGACACTTCAGACCGTCTCTGCATTTACAGGATGGGCCTACACTGAGAGACCCAGCAAAAGTGATCTGAATCAGCCAAATGTAAACTGAAAGTGGATTAGTTAAACTGCAGTAAGCCCTGTGTAGGCACATGCTTATCCTGAACCAGCATCCATGCAGGGAGCGCAGGCAGTTTAACTAACACACTGTTCCAGTCCATTCAGATTGCCTTGCTGGAGCGCTTTTGCACAGTGTTTGCACTTCCAGATTTCTCCCACACAGGGAGTGAGCAGCGACAGTAGCTGCTATAGAAACACTTATGGCCATTTGAAGGAAACCCGGGGAACTAAGCTGCCCAAATACAACAGTGACTTTATCGCAGATGAGAGGGAAAGAGAGAAAGAAGGATATGATGGCAGACAACAACTGTTAAAAGAATTTCAGAAGTGTCACGTAGTGTCAGACCAACGGTCCATCTAGCCCGGTATCGGTCTCGAACAGTGGCAGAAGTGGATCCTCTAGAGGGGGACATTGAACCAGATAACCCCTATTCAGTACCCTCCCCTTGGCATTCACAGTAGTAATTTAGAGATGCCAGACAAAACATTTCCAAATGGTCTGTTCAATAGCTTTTAACAAATCTATCATCCATGAATTTATCCAGTCCCTTTTTTGAACTATCTGCCTCTGCCACATCCTACGGCAGTGAATTCCACGAGTTAACTACACATTACATAAAAAAGTACTCTCTCTTGTTAGTTTTAAACCTGTCACCAACTAATTTCAGTGGGTGCCCCCTAGTTCTAGTATTCTGGGACTTGGTGAACAACAGTTCCCTGTTCACTTGGTCCACACCTTTCATGATTTTATATATCCCCTCTAGCCCTCTCCTTCCTAAATGGAAGACTCCTAGCCTTTTCAGTCTCTCCTGGCACAGCAACTGCTCCACGCCCCTGGTCATTTTGGTTGCCCTTCTCTGCACCTTTTCTAGTTCTACTGCATCCTTTTTGGACACGTGGGAACCAGAACTGCACACAGCATTCAAGATGGTCATTGCATTCGCTGGATTCAATGGGAAAGGCAGTGCTGAGACCTGCATCTGATAAAGTGAACACAGGATCAGGACAGCTTATACATCTCTGATTTAGTTGGTCTATAAAAGTGCCTCTCTATCCTGACTTCAGGCTAACAGAACTAACCATGTCTCTGTTCAATGGGAATACCCTTGTTCATAGCTACCCTGCACCTGAACCAGAATTCAACAGCTTGTCTGCCATTCTTTTGATGATATAACCACCCAGTTAAAAGCTATAGGTCTTCAGTAGCTGCCTTCCCTCTCCCCTTACCACAGTCACCCCTATGAGCTTCATAACATCAACTCCAACTTGACTCCATATGGAAAGCCAATGTGCAGGACTCCCTAGTCTCCCACACAAAGGCCCCCCCAATGCTCCCGCTCTCGCGCCTGGTTGCGGGGGGTTATCATCATGCTTGTTCGAACAGGTCAGAAAGGCCAGTTGCCACCTCCCGCTCTGGTCCCCAAAGGTCTCATTATGCTGCTGCTGGACAGCAACACTGGAGACACGAGCCACAACAGATCTATAAATGACACTAGCAACCCGGGCCCTTCTGCTTACCCAGCTCCAGGGTCTATTTGGATCCCATTGCAGATCATAACCCTTCTGTCCCTTGCACCCTGAAGAGACCAGGAACCGGGTAGAAGAAGAAGACTGGAAAGGTACTCGGTGGCACCTGTTGCTTTTAAATACAATGGAGAGAGAGAGAGGGAAAGAGGCAGGGAGTGGGGAGGGCCATGCTCCTCCCAGAATCTCTGTAGGAGTGGAGAGCAGAGGCTGCTGACAGAGCCGGCACAGATCGCTTCTCTCCAGCCCTGCAAACAAAACCCTTTCATCCCAGGTCAGCCCTCACGCTCCTGCCACAGCAGAGACAGCTGGGGCTTGTGGCAAGTACTCAAGAGGCAGAGAGAGCTCGCCCAGCCCACACCTCCTCCCCAGGCTCCTCTGGGACAGCACTGTTGTTTCTTCTTTACATAACAGACAATCCCTCGCTGGAATGAGCTGCCTTGCTTTGGCGAACAAAAGATCTGGCAGGGATCTTTCTGCCCCACCTGTAGGGAATCCTTGATCAGACCCAGGCCCCTGGCTCTTCACTAACCAACCTCTCTCCCCTATCCTCTGCCAGGCAAAGGCCACATAATAGCTGGGATCTATTTCTTCAATTCACCTATATGAAATATTATTGTTTTGGTCACAGGACGAGGCTCCACTCAGGGATCAGGCCCCATTGTGCTAGGTGCTGTACAGGCCCATAGCCAAAGCCTTACAAAGAGATTGCAATCTCTGTATGAGGCATGCAGGTACAAACAACACATGGGTCTATGTAGCAGGTAGATGTGGGAGGATGGCCTCTGAGGAACAATACTGTAGTGGCCCAGATGATTTGCTTGTGGATCTCCTCCCACGCGCATTATTGCTAACTCCAAACATGTTAATCATAAGCCAAGACCCCAAACTTCCCAAAATTATATGTAGGCAAATGAGAGAACCTGTATGCCAATTTGGAGCAGGGAGTTGCTGCTTAGTAGGAGCTGGCAGCTACCATACTAGGGACATGAAACTTGGCCTTGCTCCTGTGCCCTGGAGCGCCATCTTCTCCCTGGCTGGGATGAAGTGGACTCATTTCACTGAGAAAACAAATAAATCAAGGATTGCAACTCACTGCTTCTCCTTCCCTCTAAGGAGGGCAAACACTTGGAATCCAGACACTGGCAGCATGTAATTGCAGCAAAGTTGGGATCTGCCACAGGACATTTTCTCGAGGGCCTTAGCTACATGAACTCATTGGTGTTGGGATGCACCTGAACTGCATGAAGAGGGAGAAGTTAAGGATGTAAGATGAATATAGATGCAATGATACTTTGAGACCCTCAGAAGAGGAAACATCAAGGTCAAAATAAGCTGTTTAAGATCTCTGGAGATGTCTGTGCAGGCCGCTATGGAGCCCTGAGCAGAGCAGGTTCTGAGCTCCTCAGCAGCATGATTAGTTTTGATGTTTACAACAACCCCCTTGCTAGGTAGCAAGCACTGCTTCTAGTTTACATGTGGGAAACAAAGGGTATGCTTACCCTGCAATGGGACTTGCAATAGCAGCATGCACAGACACACCTGAGCAAGCTTCTGTCCAACCAACATAACTAACAAGAGCTGATGCTGCAGCAGCGCAGGTTTCAGCATGGACTGTACATGCCTGCCTGACAGTAGATGCATAACTCAGGCCTTAGCCCACACATGAGCAGAGAGAGGTTAGTCTAGAAAGTGTATATCTACCCTACCTTCTAGCCCACGCCACTATGTCTGCAGTGCTTCCGGCCCCCAAGCTAGCTAGATTTACATGTAGACAGAGACTGAGACACTTGTCCAAAATCATGTGGCGTGATAGTAACAGAACATGGTGTTGAACCAAGGTGTTCAAGGTCCCAGGGAACTGTCTTAGTGTAGAACTACCTCTAAACAAGCTGGCTTGGGTTCCAGAAACAGTCTAGTCAGAGCAGCAGGGAGTTACACCCTGGCTGATCTACCCTGCTACACAGAGATGCTCTTGCAAGTAGACTGCTTTGAGTTCACTCAGAATGGCTTGCATATTGCTACACAGCAATACACTGCAGCGTGCAATGTAGGCATGCCTTTAAGCTGCCTGCGCAACTGTCAGCTCATGCCTCTCCTGAAACGGAGTCTGTCAGGTGATAACAAGCCCTGGTCAACAGCAAGGGGCACCACCCCGAGAAGCCAATTAAACCGATGTTTCCCCCAGCCTCTTGCCAAACAGAAATTTGGCCAAATTTTCAGTTTGGAAACAGACACCTGGTGTTTCTGAAGCCTCTAATACCCCCGGCACCCTGCAACCCTCGACTGAAATTGACCTGAAATGCGTCAGTTTCACAGTTACCCAATCCGGGCAAGCGTGAAACTGACCAGCTGCTCCCAGGAGGCGTCCAAACCACAGACCAGGCTCCCTGGGGCAGTCTGCAGGGCAGGGCTGCAGCAACCGGCAGGCTATAGAGAAGCAAACAGGAGAGCTGGCAGGAAGTCAGGCTTGGCAGGCAAGCTTCAAAACTTGCCTGTGTTCTGTTGGAAGATTCATCCAGCATGAAATATTTCCATAAGTGCTTCGTAACCATGGAGCAGATGAGGCACATCATTCACACCCTCACCTTCCTTACGGCAACTTGTTTGTGTGACCCTTCCCCAAAGCTAACTGAAGCCAATCTGTTTCATCCTAGACCAGCTCCATGTTAGTGGCCAGCAGTGATGCCGGCTTTCTATATGATCGGATCCATTACCCCCACATCAAACTGAATAGGGACCTGATAAATACACTCATCACATAACTCCCAACTGCTTTGTCTGCCCACTAATCCATGTGCCCTAGTACTTCCTGCTTTCTTGGGATTAGCTCCAAACAGCTATTATTATTCTTTCAACCTGCCAGAGAAATATTTCTTCCCCCTATCTTGCCTGGCCTTTTGGATTTCTACCAGCAGAAGTTCTGCAGCAGGCAACAATCACAACCAGAAGCCTCCAGAGCATCAGTACAGGCATGCGGGTGGCTCTGTGCAAGCACATTTACACACCTTCTCTCCAGTGCCAGGAGCTACAGAAGCCCTTCTTGTGCTCCAGCAGTACAGAGTCGGTGGGGAGAAGCAGGGGTTCTCCAGCTTCAGAGCAGCTTTGAAAGGGGACACCAGCCAAACCCTGCAATGTCAGCCAGGCCAGTATCTGAGGGACTCACGCTCCTTAATGCTCTATTTTTCCCCCATTCCCACTGCAAAGAAGGGTAGTGGTGTTATCCTCACTGTACAGATGGGGCCCAGACCTCCAAGATGTTTAACACACCCACCTCCCACTGGGAAAACCCAAGTGACTAGCCCCAAATGAGGCAGGAAATCAGGCAGAACGGGTACTTGAAAAGACCTGGTCTTGATGTCTCAAGCAAGTGCCAACTAGCTCCAGGTCCTTTCCTGAAACTTAAGATTCTTTTATCCCTAGAACAAATTCCTCAGCCCAGGATGGTTAGGAGGCAGTGGCAGCTTAGCCAAGTTTGTCTTGAAGCAGTAGGACAAGCCGTGAGACCGTGTGGTCAAACACCAGCCCTTAGCCCCACAGCTCAGGCCTAGGGATCCTGACTGAGCTAAAGCTTCACCATACCCCTGCTTGGGCAAGTAAAAGCCACACATGATCATTTCTAGCCCCTTCTAATCCAAGAGAGCATGAGCATGTCCTAGGTCATAGCACAGAGAGGCTCACTCCAGATTTACCTGTCCATTAATGGGAGCAGAAGCTGAGCCCTTGGATAATGACTCTTCCCAATGCAGGGAGAGAGCAGGTTTCCTTCAGTCAGCAGCACCCCTTTGCTCCAGACTCTTGTTCCTTGGTCTCTCACTCAAGTAGCACATCAACCCAACCTGCCTGGCACTGGAGAAAGGAGGAGGCATAGCCCACACTTCCTGGAACTGAATCAGAGCTGCAAACAGCCAGCCATAACCTGTTTTTGCAAAGCCTCAAAGGCAAGATGCACTATGTGCCACAGTGCAGGGCAGGCTCCAAGCTCCTTCAAAAGCTCTGGGCTCTCTAGTTTAGAGCCACCAAAATCTTCAATAACTTCCCTTAGGACTAACATAGGATATGTGCCTGGATTCCTCTCTCTGCTTCCAGCTGTAACTCCCAGGGTAGGATGGGAAAAGCTCAGCAGCTCGTGTCTCACAGTGCTTTGAGATCTACTAGGAATGAATTATTAGTATTTGCACACACGTCACCCCCCCGCATGCACACACACCTTCCCACATACACATGCTGTGATCTGCCTTCCCTGGAGCAGAATAGCCCAAAGGAGGAAGACCAGTGCCCTGCTTATCAGTCACAGATGCCCTAAACACAAGGAGTCAAAGGAAAGACTACAGCAGTTGATATAAAGGTGAACAGACTCTGCACAGTGGGACCCTGTCAGCCATGCGCCCAGGTCATTAGCTGCAGTGTCTGCACCGGCCTTGCAAAGCCTGTGTCAGCGACAGCAGGCAGGATCCATGGGGGAAGACCTCCATTTCCACCCACGGCCCCTTGCCCATTCTCTTGCTTGCTCTCTCTCTCTTTTTTTTTTTTT